AAGGTTGCTATGAGTCGGAATCCACTTGGCACTTAACAACATCTTGCAAGAGGAAAAGCCCCAGACATTCTATGAACCTTTTGTTTCTCTCCTCTCTTTCTGCTTTTTGAAAACCTCTATGTTAAAGTATGGCGGGACCTACCCCTAATTTTTTCATTTCTTTTTCCACCTCTCTCCCCACTCTTCCCTCCCTTATAGTATTGTGCACTTTCCTGTTCTTTTCATCTTGGTCTTGGCCCTGATTTTACCACATCACTCTTGCTCTCTGTCATCATTCTCTATATTGTTGTTGTTGTTAAGTGCTGTCGAGTTGGTTCCGACCCATAGCAACCCTGAACAGGGTTTCTGAGGCTGTACTGTCACTTTAATGGTCCCTCTCTTCCAAATCTGACTCCTCAAATGGCATGAGGACATACAAATCTGGGCATATGATGGACGAAAGGTGACTTGTCCTTCCATGGTTGTTGTTGCTAGGAACTATCAAGTCAATTTTGACTCACTGATATCCCGTGTGTGCAGAATAGAACTGCCCCATAAGGTTTTCTAGACTATAATCTTTACAGGATCAGATCACCTGGATTTCCTAATTTAGAGCTTCTAGGTGGGTTTGAACCTCCAACCTTTGGCTTAGCAGTTGAGGAAGAAGGATTTGGCATGGTCTTGGATGTCAAGACCCCAAGACAGACAGCAGTATAGGAAGAGTCCTCCAGAGATGCGCTGGCATAAGAGAGAGATCCGAGACCCAGGGAGAAAATGAGATGTCAAGGAGCCCCTTCCAGGACTGCAGAGCTAGACATTGGCAGGTGCATTTGAACCCACTGACTCCTGTAGCAGATATGGAGCCTCAGTCGCATACCCAGCAGCGAACAAGGCACAGCTACTGAAACCCAGCCCTGAAGTTGGAGAGGGGTAGATGATGAGAGGTGTGGGAGACGGATGGAAAGTGAAGGGAGACCAGGATGGAATAAGTTGTGGGGAAGGGGAAAGTAATCCCCAAAGGAGGAAAAGGTGAGTGGAAGAGAAGAGAGCATAGAGAGAAGGGAGAAAGGACAGCACAGGGAAAGGGTGAGGATAGCCAAGAAATGGGGAAATGGGATAAGAAGAGCATTTAGACGGGAGAAGAAAGAATGCCAGTGGGGAGATGAAGGTTACTGGGACGACCCAGACTGGGGGAGGGGTGTGTTGATGGGTTCCATCAGCCTTGAGTCCCCAACCCTTTCCCACCCTACCGCCTGCTAATTAACTCCTTAATTGTCTCTGTATTTGCTGAGCTGGCAGATGAAGTGGATGCAGACAGATTGGGGAGCGTGTGATTTCACGCACGGGGGAGCGGAGAAGAGCTGCCTGGGAGTCCCAGGGGACCTTGTCTTCCCCTCCTGGGTCTTCAGGATGCTGGAGGGCACCTTTGCACCTAGAACAGATGGGGTGATCTGCAAGGGAAGTATCCATGGGGATTAGCTCCCATCAGCTTTTCAAGAATGATAATAATGCTTGCCAGCCATCATTGATGGAATACCTACCCCTTGCTAGGGACACATTGTTTCATCAGGGTGGGCATTAGCATGATTTTATGATTTGTGAAGAAAAGTGAGGCTCAGACAGGTTAAGTAATTTCCCAGGATCACACAGCATTGATGTAACAGAGAGGATTTGAATCCAGGTGGACACATTGCCCAAGCCCTAGGTGGGTCCTGGCTAGATGCTTCACAAAGGAGAATCTCTCCAGGCCCATTATCCTCTTAGCCCCAAGGGGAAACTAGAGACTGCCAGGGCCAGAGATGAGGAAGGAAATATGCATCAGAAGTTGGAAGGATGCAAAAGGAACCAGGATTTGTTACAACCTGGACAAGAGGTAGGTGATCCCAGAGAAGCAGAAAGAAGCAGTAGACACTAGACACTAATTACATCCTTGGATCCCTCAAGAGTCATCTCACCTGAACTGAAGAGAAACAACAGCATGAAGGATTTAGGTTGTGCATAAGAAAGAACTTCCTAAGACTGGGACCAGTGATTCAGATCCATGGGTTCTGAATATCAAGGTCTTAGCAATGCCAGCTTCCCCTTTTCCTTATCCCTGCCTCATAAACTCTTGACAGAATGACTTTCTCTTTCTGCTACTCTACATTGGCAGCCCTGGCCCATCCCTCTATTTTGCTCTAGCCTTTGTTCTAGAGTCACCTGTCAATATATTGTCAGAGTCCCTTCTGAAACTTCGATTATCCCTGCCATTTTTTTAATTTGAGTTTGCCTAGGGTTGTTTTATCCCTAGGGTCAATACTGGGGTCTGACACAGAAAAAGCCTCAGTGGAGGTCACAGAAGAGGGAGGATCCAGCTCACCTAAATTCAAGAGGAAACAACAGCATGAGGGATTTAGGTTGTGCTTAAGAAAGAACTTCCTAAGGCTAGGGCCAGTGATTCAGATCCATGGGTTCAAAATACCAAACGTTTTCAAAATTGGCTGGCCTTCACAAGTTGGAATCTCTGGGCCCCACCCCAGAATCTCAAATTGGAGATTTGGATTTAATGTCTAAGGTAGGGCTATGGTAGCTGCATTTTTGAGAGTTCTCCAAGCGATGATAAAAGGCAGCCTGGGATGAGAAGAAACATTGTGCTCTGATTTAGTCACTTTAACACTGAATTCAAATACTAATACAAATATCTATTATTTGTTGAAAATTTACTAAGCATGAGCCAATGTGCAAAGCATTTTCCATGTATTAGCTCATGTAATCCTCAAAAAAACCTTGTGAACTTAGTTTTATCCCCATCTTATAGAAAGATGAGGCTTTCTGCTCTGCAAAGATTTACAGCCTCAGAGATGCTAGACAAGACAGGTATGAGTCACAACCGACTCAAAGGCACTTAACAACAATAACACAGATGAGGAAGCTGAGGCTCAGAGAGGTCAAGTGACCTATCCATGAAAATGAGTGGGCAGGTCTGGAACCTTCCATTGCCTGATTCACACTTCCAATCTTCCCCCAGACTCCTCCTGGGGCTGCTCGTTGGCCTCGATCAGTCCCTCCCTGCCTGCCTCCACCTCACCTCATCACCTTCCCCTCCACCCCCGCTCCCTCAGTAGCATCCCAGGTGACTGAAGCAATTTGCAGCCATTTAAAGAGGCTCTGTGTGTCACTCAGCCTACAAGGGCGGGGAGGTGGGGGAATTACAGATGCTCCAAGACAGTCCTCTTTCCCTTTGAGGACGTTTAAGATTTAGAATCAGACTCTTCCTGCTGCTCCCTAGGGTCCCTGTTTAGGGCCCTCATAGGCTAAATTCCTACTTTCAAATGCCCCCTAGGGTTGTTTCTAAGTATCTGGTAGAGTCCCGCCACCCAGTGGCTACCCAAGGACATGACAGCACCTGAACCGCTGGTGCTGGACAGCCCCGAAATGGCCTGCTCCATGACCAGGCCCCCAGTAAATGAATCCAACCCTACCTCCTCCATAGTCCTAAACCCACACCGTCTCTCTCAAGTTCTCAAGCTCCCTATCCTGGCTTCCCAGGTGCCTTCTGCCCCAAACCCCTGACAACTTCTCAGTCAACTTCTTTCTATTGCATCAGCTCCTTCTCATGGCTGGTTCTTTCTTTTAACCTAAAGCCCTTCATCATGTCCTGGGAATGACCGCTCTCACCTTCCTTCTCCCAGGACGGCACCAGCTTGCAAGTGGAGCAAAGGAGCCACTAGAGATTGAATCCTGGTTCCCACACCCCCCTCCTCATCATCTGACACCATCAGACCTCAACAGCCTCCGTGCTAAGAGCCCCTAATGAGCATCAGCAAATTAACAACTTCCCCTTGATTGCTCCTTTTCTGTTAATTGGATAGGGAGCCCCCCCCCCCCAAGGCCTCTCAGAGAAGAGGAGGAAAGGGAGGGAAAGAGAGGGAGGGAAAGAGAGGTGAGAGCTACAGGAGCAGCCCCCCAGCCTGAATTCAGTGCCTCAGACTTCTCCATTCCTGAGTCCAGCTCCCCTTTTAATCGTTGCCTCACCCAATCCCCCTCCTCTCAGTCCCTTTCCTGTCTTCCTATTTCTGTCCAAATTCCCTTGACCTCTGGCTCCTTCGCTCTCCTTCTCCCTTTCTTTAGAGATTTAGGGCTGAGGAGCTACAAACATGCTCCCCCAAGGCTACAAAGATGAGGTGTGTGTGTGTCATGTAAGTGGGGCGCAGGGATAAGAACAGGTGAATATGTGTAAACCAGCAACTGCCTGCATGTCAGGCCTCTGGGATGTGTGGGTGTCTGTGGGTGTATGTGTGGCTGTGACTCCGGTCTGTGTGTGTGTGTGTGTGTGTGTGTGTGTGTGTGTGTCTCCACACGGACAAGTGCTCGAATCAGTCAAGTGTGACTCGGAGCTTGTGTGTGTGTGTGTGTGTGTGTGTGTTACCAGAGGAAGCAGCAGCTAAGAGGCAGGAGCATCGATCCGGAGGAGACAGCACGGGGAGGGGGATACTGGGGGCAGACACTCTCCCTCCCGCGCGCACACACGCGCGCACACACACCCCCCACACAGTCACACACACAATCCAGAGGGCCTCGGAAGCGAGGGCACAGGACGGCCCGGGACTGGAAAGAAGCAGCGCAATCGAAAGCGGCCGAGAGGAGGAGGCGAGCGGGCGTGGGGAGTCCTGGTCCGGTTCCCCGGTCTAGGGGCCCCCGCGCGCACACCGGCCCAGAGACACCCTCGCAGACACTCGTAGGCGCGCACGCGCACCCTCTCCCCTCCTCCTCCCTCCCGCCGCCTCCCG